AGAAATGGAAATCGCAAACATATTGGAAAAGAACACCTCCCTGCTGAAGTTTGGGTACCATTTCACCCAGCAAGGTCCCCGGCTTCGCGCCTCCAATGCCATGATGAATAACAACGACCTGGGTGAGTCAGGCTGGCCAGAGGCTGGGAAACATGGGATGGTCCTGTGGGCAGGTCCTGCTGGGATTAGGGCAGAACTGCTCACATTAAAGATGTGTATGAATTAGAATGTGCCTCTTGAAGGGCCTGATGATGCTTTGCCCCTCAGGGAGGAAGGCAGCCTTCACCAGCTGGTTCCTTACTGCAGCTGCTGTCAGCCAGGCAGTGTTTTTTGCAATAACAGTGGGTATTGTTGGGAAAGAGCAAGAGCTGCTGATGTGGTTCAGTAGAGTTTGTGATCCGGCATGTGGCACGTGGGCTATGAGCTGCTAGTATTTGTGATTCCTGCCAACTACTTGTCTTCCTCCAGCTTCATTCCCACTTCAACAAGGAGATGAAAAGCAGTCGAGTTGAACTTTGACAGCAGCTAAGATTTGGCCCATCCCTGTCAGCAAAACAAACAGGAACTGTTTCTAGGGATATGTGGGAAGCCACGTGGCTTTGAGTTATCTGTATACCCTCAATGAAGTGATCAGAAGTGCTTGTGAAGTAAAATGTGGGCAAGTCTGCAAACTGCCATTTCAGCCAAAGCATGTGGCAGAGCCTTTCCATTGCTTGGCTACAAGCTATGTAGAGCACTGGAAGCCAGGCCAGGAGAGCAGTGCTGAATGCAGCTAACACACCCGCCACGCTGTACTCAGCAGCTGCCAGAGCTAGGCAGAAAATAAAAATTTGTTGCGCGTTAAAACCAAATTAAAAAACACTAATCTTGCTTCAGCTGGTACTGTGCTCCTAGGAAGCACAGCCAAGCACAGGGCTATGTGCCAGCTCTTCAAGGATCACACAAAATACTCAGTATGTAGTGTCTTGGTTTGAAAAGACAGGTGTCTGCTAAGGAAGGCAGGAGCATCCCTTGAAATGGAAAATGTAAACCCCCTCCCTTCAAATTATTATAATTTTAAAATTAAGGGGCTCACTGGCGAAGATATGGAAGTATGAATAACATTTCTTTACTAGTATATAAATTTTAAAAAATCAAAAAGACCTACAACTTAATAGGGAAATTAAAATAAAAATGCAGTAGTAAAAAAAAAACCACTGACAGAATACATGACACCCTGTTGATCAGGGTGTTGGTAGCAGTCCAATTAAATGGTGGCTGCAGTCCTCCTGCAGTGTCAGACGTGGTTCTGTTGAAGCAGTGATCCTGTAGAAGGGTGTAGTTTTTCTCTGAAGGTCCAGTGGTGATGTAGAACATTCTGGACTTTCTCTGGGAATCCAGTGGAGAAAGGCTGACTAGGTTGTTCTGAATCTCAGATTATGTCCAGGTAAGAATGTTTGGTTCCTCCACCTGGGTGGAGCATCTCACAATGGGATGATGTAATTTTATCAGTTATTTATCAACCCATTAACAGATCCCCCTGGAGGGAGGATGGGCAGTGGAAGAGATAAAGAACACTGCCATATCTAGTTTTAACAGCTGGCCCATTATCAGAAGAGATCCCCCTGGGGTTATGAGGGATGGGTCATGGAAGAGATGAACACTGCCTCACCTGGTTTTAACAGATGGTAATAGAATACATATTTTGGTTACATCTTGCATTGCAACCTAAGATACCTGGTCACTGGACCACTGCACTGGGAAAGGCTTGTTGCGTTCTGGGGCTGTAGGATCATGTCCAGGCAGGCTACAGCTACCAGCGACCCGCATGGGACTCCCAACGAGACGGGCTTCTGCTCAGAAAACCATTTATTCAACACAGGCACAGACCCAGAGACAGACAGCCCCAAACAGAGGCAGGGTGATGGGTTTTGTAGGACAGAACCAGGGTGGAGTTTAAGGTCGGAACTAATAGGAACACAGCAGGGGAGAAACCCCAGGGGCTCAAACCCAATCAGAACTCACTGGGCTGCCGCCCCATGAGGGGTTTGGGGTGGAGCAAATCTTCCTGGGCTCACAGGGCCCTGAGGCAGAGGAATGGAATCCACTCTTCCTGGGCTTTAAAGCCACACCTCTCACTTTAACAGTGCTTATCTGAAACCAAATCTTTGCCTCCCTGGGCAGGGGGCACCTCACAAAGGCTTGCTATTTTCTGTCCTCTGGAACAGAGCATGGTTTTTAATGGCTCTGCAGCACCTGGCATTCAAAGTAATCAGCTCATAGATTTTAAATCCAGTGTTTTGACTGTTCCTGCTGTTAAGAGGACGAATACACAACTTGCCTTCCATGTAGGAATTGTGTATTTTGCCTCCTTGACCACTAAGATCTGCATTGGTTCTTGTTTGCAGCTCGTATTCATTGGTCTGATGGTCTCTGGCAATAGCATCTCAGCTCAACACCTGGACAGTGTATAAGTAAAGAAAAACTTGCTTTTCCTCCCTGTCAGCAATAGCACTCTGCTTGTCCTCTGCTCCAATGTTCTTGCCTATCACATGATGCTACCAGAACATGGTTTTGGTCCCATAGCTTCCGTTCCCTGAGATGCTCTGTGTGAACTGACTGTGAAGACTTTCATGTTCAATCTCTTGAGCTAACTTCTGCATCCTCTTTATACAATTTTGTTCTGCGTTGTTTGTTTTTTTTCACACCTTTCTTGGAAAGTATGACCGTAGGTGTCAAGAGGTATAAATGAACTTTTAAGACTAGGTATGAGACTGTTTTGGCTATGTTAACCATGATCAGAGGACTGGAGCCAAATGACTTAGGGTAAGAGTTTTGGGGTGGGTTTTTTTTGTTTGTTTGTTTTTGGTTTGGTGGGGTGTGGTTTTTTTTTGTGTTTTTTTTAAAAATGTATTTATTTATTTGAAAAGGCAGATTTTTAATTTGAAAAACTAGCAAAGGAAAAACTGACATCTGTTTCCAGCTGTCTCTCCAGCAGTCAGATGATGTGCTGGACAAAGTCCAATTACAAACTGTGAAATATAATTAGCTACAGAATAAGGGAGGTAAGGCTGAAAGTAGGTTCTGGCCTTAAAAATGCACAGGGAGAAAAACCTCATCTTCCTTGATTTTGCTTTGTAAGGCTGTGCTGGCTGCTTAAGGCAGGAATTCAGAACCTGATGCTATCCTGTTTCTTTCCTGGCAGAAAGTACATCTCTCAGCTCCATTCTACAGCTGTTAAGGCAAGCCTGCCATTCACATTATCCCATTGCCATGACTGACTCCTTTTTCTTTTCCTTTTCAGTGAGGAAGAGAAGACTTGCAGAGGTGAACGGGCCTATTTTTCCCAAGTGCAGAACTGGAGTGTAGTTCCTGGCTGTGGAGGTCATTCCCAGTGATCTGTGCTACACTGTGGAAATCTAAAGGCAATAAGTGCCTTGACAGAGTATTTGTGGTGCCTCTGTTCTGTTTTATGCACTAACAGTTGAAATTAAATAGTGGCTGTAGTTTTTATGAAGATTTTATCCAGTAGGACTGTTGATGTTTTCTGTAGAGCTGGAAATTATTCAAGCCAACGTGTCAATTCTACACAACCTCAGCTTAGAGTACAATCCAGCGTTAAAGGGGATTAATTTTTCTATAAACTTACTGCACGGTTTTATAAAGTTAGGATGTGGTATGCATGAGTGAAAGATACAATTGTGTCACACAAATTATAGAAGTATTAAAAAAATACTTTATTTAGTTTTTTTTTTAAAGTTGACCTCAAGTAACTACAGAGGAGTGACTAGTTTAACAAGCACTTCTAACGTCTGGAAACATGGCTAATTTAAAGAATTGCAAGTTACAATATTTTTACCAACGTTTGCTGAATCATTTAATTGAAGATGCTGTTTCAAATGCATCCTAGTGTTTCTTACAAAAAAACCTGATCTCCACCCCCTGATTAAATGGAACTTAAGGCCACCGAATATAAAACAAAGCCTCAAAAATCAAGTGGTTTAGACGGGTGAACATCCTTCAATCCCATGCATGTGTGAAGAAAACAGTCATTCTTATAGGTGTGATGCAAACCCTAACCCCCAGGGATGGCCAAACTAATTGGCAAATGAGAACCTTCTCTTCTACTCCCCACTCCTTTCCGTTTCCGTATGTTAAAAGCATTTGTCTAGATATTAACTGGAGACAGGTCAAATTCTCTGCCTTTCCTGTTTTTCCTAAATTACCATATCCATTAATTAAATTTTGTTCTGCTAGGAATTATTTCTTTTTCTGCTGTCCCTTATGTCCACATAAATGCAAGAATAAATGTTGTGCCCGAAAAAAAGCTGTGAAGTGAAATACCCCAAATCTGAACTTACACTATGTACGATCTCAAAGCATTTTGTCAGTGTACACTCATCATCCAGCCTAGGAGGAATTCCCCACAGACTTGTGTATCTCCCAGACCTGCAGTGGACCGGACCCAGCACCTGCAAACTCCCACTGCTAATGTGGGTGGGATCCTGCTCAGTAAGAAGTCTCCATGGAATAAGCATTGCTGTACTGAAACTTTAATCTTGGGCAGATGACACATGCTAGAAAATGTTCTCTCTTGCTAGAAATCTGCCTTTAAATGTCTGCTAAATAGTGGAAGTTTTTCAGGCTTTTACATACGTTCTGGCAAAAGTCCCAGAGGTTTCTTCAGAGACTGCACAATCACCACTGATGATTTAGCTATGATCAGTGAAGCAGAGAAACACCATTCAGCAATGTGGGAAACACACTTGTTGCTCTTCAAATCTTACTAAATGTGCCTGTGTTGTCATATAAAATACTTCACTATAGCTTGTTCCCTCCACTGTGCAAGTTCTGTATCAGAAAATAAATGTGGAAGAAAAATACTTGAAAACATATTAAAATGAAAAAACCAGCAGACTTAAAAAGTACTTCCTTCTATGTGCACCATGAAGACTTTGAAATTACCAACTCAATCATCTATCAGAGCCACACACTTTAATCTGAGCCATCCAGTCAGATTTGCACGACACAGGCTCATCCCTTCCCTTGGTTTCAGAACGTAAATGAATCTTATCCTGGAAAATCCTAGTGGTACCAAGAAGCACAGACAGGCAAGGAGATGCATCTGCAGACCAAGGAGCACTACAATGGATACTACTACAGTCCTTAGCAAAAAAACCCAAAAAACAACAACAACAAAAAAAAACCCCAAACACAAAACAAAACAAAAAAAACCCCCTCTGTCCTGTGTTTCACTGTAGCAGCATCCACATTAACCTTGCAGCCCAAAGGTATATTAAGCTGTCAGGATCATTCCAGGTTCCTTGGCTGATCCTCACAGAGCTGTTTTGCTGTAGGATGCATCTGACAGCTGAGGGTGGTGAAGCAGAGTCAGACAGTGCTGAGGCAGCAGGCAGTACAGTGAAATGCTTTAAGCTGTGCAGCAATGGAGCTACAAAGTGATGATACTTAGGAGCAAATGTATATCCCTGTTTGGCCCAGCAGCTCCCCAGGAAAAGAGAGGAAAAGCCATGTGGTGACTGCAGCATCTGGCAGTCACAGTCTAACCCTCTGAAAACTCTTCCCTCTCCTGGAGCTGATGTGCCTTCTCTCAGGCTTTACCACCAAGATGCCTGGATGCTGCCACATAGCTTTCCACATAGCAAGTCCTTATTTGCATTTATCTGACAATACTAACCCAGAAAACAGGACAGAGAGCCCCTTATGGGTTAACTTGCAAGAAGCAGGCTAAGAAGGTTATCTTATCCCCTTCTCTGCTCTCTGCAGCAGAGAGAACATGGCTTTATGGGACTCCATCTGTACATCTCACATCCTTCTCCTCCCTGCCTTAGTGCAGCAAGGACCAGAAGAGGCCTCATGGCTCCCCTCTGCCTTTGAGGTAGAATCTCCAGCTGCAAGGAGCTCTCAGGAGAATTGTACCCTATAGCCAGGTCTACCATGTGGCAGACTAGCTAGGTTTCAGTGTTTATCTCTGCAGAATTAAGCACCTCCAACACATCATGTGAAGTGTATTTGTGCAGTACTTAAAAAATTATAATGGAAGCACTAAAGGTCATTTATCATAGATGTTTCAGAAATTTACATATAAAATGTAATTGTTGCCATCCTGTACTGGTAAGTACAGAAACAGCATTACAAATTGATTACAGTATTCCAGACCTGCTGATAGACTGAATTACAAAACTGTGTTCTTTTTAGCCTAACACAGGAAGATCATGGGGCACTCCCCATCAGTGCTTTAGACCAGACCCACAAGTAGAGCTTACATGTTTCTTCACAAATACTCCAGTCCTCAAAACCACAGAGGTTAACCAGCCAGCAGGGACCAGGAAACCAGGGAGACATTGGCACTGCTCAGACTTCTGATGAAGGTGTCTATTGATTGGAATTTTCTGATTTCTTCTCTAGAATGGGTTAAATACTATCCTAGAAAGACTCCCAAAGGAAATATTCCTAAGATCCAGGGTTTTGCCTCATAAATGGAATTGTCATGGGGACAGCTGGTGAACCATTCATTTCATGGTAGCAATACTGGAAGCAAGAAGAAATGTTTGTCATGGCTTTAATGGAACCAATGCCCATGTATTTAAGTTGCAAGTCAAGCCTTGCTGAATTAATAGCACCATGGGAGAAAGATACAATCTGAAAATAACATAGCCCTGTCATTAAGCAACTGCAGAAACTTAAGAAACTCTTTTCTTGCTTTTAAAAGCATTTGCCAGTAAAAAAACTCCAAACCTAGTGATTTTGATGTCCTAATGACTTACTGTATAGTTCCCAGAGTGACAGGTGAATTTCAAAGACATTTTTCGGTCAAGACACATCTTCCACACTATTAATAAATCCTTTCTGTACATTCTACAGCATCAGGCACACAATACAGCACGTGAGGCAGTATTTTAAGCTCATTTGCTGTAGGTCCCTTCAAAGACAATTTCTCCACTAACAAGTGCTGGAAATTGCATAAACATCTTGCAGGTTTTAAAAAACTTGTTTAAAAAGCAAAAATGCTCCCCAAAACTTGAATTATTTAACTTGGATAAAGGATCTTGCAGTCTTCTCATAGCTGTTGCTGACATTTATGCACACATGCATCACTTCCAGTGCCATGATGTTGGTATTTTGGCAGTCTCTGTGCTCCCCTCTTTGTGTGCTTGTTTCAACATGCTTCAAGCTGTCAGGTTTTTTTAGTGCAAGCAGAGCTGAGCCCTGCATATTTCATACATTGACAAGTTCAGGGGAAAAAACAGTTCCCAGGGAGACTGAGCACAGCAAAGAAGATTGCGTTTGCTGTTCATCCTACAGGTCACACAAGTATGGCTGGGCAAACAGTATCTCTGGGCCTTTGCTCCAGCTCCTTATGCTGCCTTCAGCCAGTTTTACAGGAGAGTTAAGTCAGTAATTTCAGGTAATTTTGCCTTGCTTCTCACTGGTATAAAGCAAGAGATGCAGGTCAATGGTGTGCATGTGGAATATATCTTCATCTAATCTGGTCACAAACCCACACCAAATTGGTAAATCTGTTTGCACACCTCACTACAAGCTATTGAAGCAGATGCATGATCCTTGGAGAGGTCAGACAGGTTGATCTCCATGCAGGAAGAAAAAACTGAATTGCTCTTGATTTCCTTCAGTTTCTTTTGAATTGTGAGCAGCTCTATCACATTGCAGATACTCTGCTCCAAAATCCCCATGGTAAAGGCCGCACTACAAGACTGTACCCAGAGAGAGGGATCCTGTAGTGCTGGTGATGGATTGGGCACTCTGGTAATTTACAGGCAAGTAATGGATGGTTTTCAGGGCATATTCTATGTTTAAAGGCAGCATATGAACAAGACTTTCCAAGCCAACATATTTTCATAATTTCCAAACCTAACTGATTAACAGATAGAATCTGGTTACAGAAGCCCTTCACATGAGCACATGCCAGATTAACCGATGAAACAGCTTAATCTTTTCCTGTGCCCAGCATCTTTGGCGAGACACGTTCAACTGGTACCCTTGGTCGTCTCCTTGTGCAATCACATTCCTCCTTAAGTGTCTGTCCTGAAGCCCTTGAAGTCACCTTGAGCTCCTTCTCTTGACAAACAGGACAGCAAGCTGTAAGACCTTTGTTGGAACAACTTGGACATGTCAGGACAAGCTGCCGGCAGTGCTGACTGGAACAAAGTTTATATTGGTCCCACAGCACCCCACAGTATCTGCATGCTGGAGGGAGGAGGAGAATAAAAAGTTAACACCCATACTGCTCTTGCTGTTCCCTTGCAGAGGGCTTGCAAGGCACCAGGGGGCTGCCAGCTCTCATTTAAGTGGCTATTGTCTTGCAGGTTTTTAATTCCCGTTTAGCTTGATCTTCTAGAATCTAGTTCATTTTAAAACATCTTTTTTGACATACTTAAGACAGTTTTCCCTCTGGAAAAGAGGAGAGTGCTCACTGGTGCTTTCTCTAGCTCTGAATAGACAGATTTAGAGATTCTTACTGCTAAGAGAAGAAGAAAGATACAGGTGAAGAAAGTTGCAGGTGGCAACTAAGCCAGTATGCAGGAATGTCACCTGCTGGGGAAGGGGATGCCATGGAACTTCCTTCCATCTACAAACAATGGCTTTTGCAGGCAGGGTGCCATGTGCAGTCCTGGTAGAGTCCTTCCAGAACATCACAGGTTTTAACTATTTAACTGAAAGCTACAGCCCAGATTTAGCTGTACCAAGAAGGTGCATACCACAGCACTTCCCCTTGAAACTTCTGTAGGCGTGGCTGTGATGTAACCAGAATGTGTTCTGTTTCCACACCAAGTCACGCCCCTTTTCAAGATGTATAGAGTCATTGCAGAGGAGGAATGGGAGGTTATGCTTGAAAGGTTACCAACTCAGAGAAAAAACAGCACTGCTCCCTTAAAAGAAGGGCTAGAGCCAAATTCTAGATACTTGTATCTGGCAACTGATAGCACAGTCAGATATTACTTAATTTGCAGTAATTGAAGAGCAATCCCAGCCAGAAAATCAGGCAATGTTCTTAACAACTTCTGCTAGAGGCCAGTGAAATGCCATTGGATATAGAATTTCTTAAGCATTAAAATAACAAAGTGCTGTAGAGCATTGTGCCACTACTCTCCCAATACCTGGAAGTCTTTGTTGATATTCTGTGAGACTGCTGGAGCAGAGGACTGCTGGCAGCAGGAGAAATATTTAAGACTTCGGTCACTTGGTCAACCAGAGTCTGAACAGCACTGTGGGCAACAAGCAGGTAATGACAGCTGTAGTGCTGGACCTAAGTCTCCATAGGTGCAGATGGCTCATAACAGAGCTGTTCTGCAGGGGATACTTCATTCTAGTGCTCCAGTTTTAGTGAATTCTTGTTAGTGACCCCCTTTCCTCTCATTTCTGTTTTACATGTTAAAGTCATAGTGTTGATAGTCATCACGAGAAGTGACAGCACTATGAGATCAAACCAAGTATGAGGAAGAACTACACAGGCCAGTTTGGCTGTCCCTATCCTGCACACCTCTGGAAATGACTGCAATAGCTTCCCAGCCTTCTGCACTTACATTATCTAGTCCTACCTGAGATGATATCTTCATTGGAACAAATGGCGTAACGATCATCAAATACAAACAGCTTCCCCCTGTAGAATCCATCTGGAAACTCTTCTAGGTACTTGTGAATTCCACCTTTTAGCTGGTAAACCTCTCTGCACACTGCCTGTTTAAAGCATATTAGCAGAAAAGCTGAAGGAGACCACAGCAGTGGTGGTGTGCCAGAGTTCCCAAAGCAAATGCTGTAAATGCCAGGGGTCAGTGAAAAGCAGCAGCCTCTCAGTGACCATCAGATGGCACCATGTGCAGCCACAGCTCTAGACAGTGCCACCAGAGAGTACTGCGTAGCTCCACAATGCTGGACTGTTGGCACAAACCCAACACTCAGAAGAAAGTGGTAACCTCCTCACCTGAGGAAGGTTTGCTGCATCACAGATCAAATGCTTTTGAACCTCCATGAACTTGTTATTCAGATTTTATCTAGTTAACGGTTAGTAGAAGCAGAATTTTGCAGGGTTCACATTGATGCAGCAGAAAAAAAGAATCCCAAAGCTTAAATCTTTGGAGAACCTTTGTGTTCTGCTCCCTTGATCCTTGAGAGAAGGATCCAGGAGAAGAGCAGGATGAAAATTTTAGAACACAATTAGAACAATGCACTGTGCTGGATTTAGTTCTGCAACACTAGCAAAAGCACTGACTGACTAATTTTCACCACTTTGAGATGCTCAAGCTGTGCAGTAATGACCACAGAGCATAACCTGGACAGTCTGTGGAAACATTGCAGAGTATTTTCAAGCCCTCCTAAAACAGTCCTACAAATACCTCTTCTCAGGAAATGGGTTATGTAATTATTTTCACTGCTGTAACACTAGTCCATGCAGGTCATACTGAGCCACACTGAACTATCCAGGTCCTTGACAGACAGCATGAGACAAGCACATGTCAGAGGCACTTGTCTCCCCACCTGTGCATTCTGCAGTTTGTGCACAGTTAGAATTCAGCAGCAAGACAAAAGACAGGTGCCCTTAAAGCAGCCACAACTCCCCGACACTTGTGCCCTCAGAATGACACCTTACCTTGCTCCTGAGGTAAGCAGAGCCTCTTTCACAACGAATCCCTCCTGTGCAGTACATCAGTACCCGCTTATCTTTAAAAAGCTCCAGGTTTTCATCTACATAGCTTGGAAAATAGCTGAACTTCCTGATATCTGGAGCCAGACAGCCCTGGAAATGTCCCTGCAATTAGATGGCCATGCAATTGTTTACAAGCACTGTTACTGGTAAGATTTGTGCCTCAAACTAGAGGAAGTAACAAACCTTTGGGCTGGAATATTCAGCTCACTGCAGCTGTTTTAGGCAGCTCCTCAGCTGCATTTATGCATCAAAATGTTTGTTAAAATCTGTAGGAGGGTTCTGGACACAGCAAGTCTCGTCATTGAAACAAAGAAGAGAGAGCTAAGCAGAGCTGTCAGAGAGAGGACAAACCACAACAGTGCATGAGGGGTGGTGGTTGTGACAGTCGATTGCCCATTTCTTTCTGACAGATGGGACAAGACAAAAAATGTTGAAAAACATCCCTACAAATCACACTACTTCAAACATTCATGCTCTTGTTGTATGGACCACTTCTTTCTTCCTGCCCCATGCTGTGTAAGCACTTGGCCAGCAGGCTCCATCCTGAGTTGCTGGGCAGGTTCTCTACTGCTTGTGTCTAATACTCATTACTAAACTGCACTTTGCAAACGTTACAGCCAATCTGGAGAATGTAATCTCTTCTAACAGTAAGGTTACACCCTCACAATCGTAAATACTTCATCCCAGCACCTGTAAAGAAAGGCAAGCAGAACTTACTATTTTACTTTCATAGAAGTTCCTACAGTCCAGCAAGATGGTATCGCTTTGTCCTTGAGTGGCCTGAGACAAATACTGTTCTACTTCTCTATGAAATTCCTGAGGGGATAAATGGATTCCTTTAACAAAACAAAAACAAAACCAAACCAAAACAAAACAAACAGAAAAAAAAAAAAAAAAAAACAAACAAAAAAAAAAAAAAAAAAAAAAAAAAAAAAAAAAAAAAAAAAAAAAAAAAAAAAAAAAAAAAAAAAAAAAAAAGAGGGAGGGGGAAGAGAAGTGAGAAGCCGAACTATGAAACAATGTCATATATGAGATCACTGATTCAGATTCTCCTCAGACTTCCAAACAAAACTTTTCTGTGATTGTTCACAGAGTTTTCATCCCAACTCAATCAGCTAAGTTTATCCATGTTTGGCTTCCTACTGGCAAATGAAAGAAAACAACACTCTTCCACACAAAGGAAGAGGCAGCAGACAGGTACTTATCTCTGTAATCTTTTTTTGCATCCCCCTGGCTATTCTTAGAGCTATAGAAGAGGGAGTGACATGTTCCACTTCTCTTTGCTCATCTGCCATTATATTTGGAGGGACAGAAACCAAATTTTTTAAATTAAGCTCTTCTCGATTACAATGGAAAATTTCTATAAACATGTACTACTTTCAGTACAACTCAATTTACATAAATTTTGTCAACCTCAAGGGCTTAGGACTCTTAATCTAATTAAAAACTGAAAAGCTCCACCAGCAAAATTCTTTACGTTTTTAAAAAACATCCCTATAAACAACCTGCCAGAGTAACAGGAACCATCTCTGTAAAATGCTGCAAAATAGCAAGAAAAAGGTAAAAAAAGGAAATAGCCAAACATGCATCCCACAAACTACCAAAAAATGGGTACAAAAAATAATCATCTTCCAAATCCACAAAAAGATGCTGCAGAAGTTTGGCACCAACAAAACCTCTTGGTGGGGAAAAAAGCCCAAAGTTGTTCTGTTAATTGCTATTTGCTGTGCTTACTGCTTACCGCCTATGTAAGCATCCTTACAGCAAATCCACAGCCAGGAACACCTTATCAGGCGTAATCCACACTAAGCAGCTACAGTTAGCACAAAACAAATGCAGTCAGATGGAGCTCATTCAGAACTTGGATCTGCTTAGTGCAAAAGGCAGGAGCATGGCTGTTGGCTCCAAAATGAGTGAAGCCAAGTCAGCAGTCCCTGCCCCAGAACAAAGTAACTGCTTTGTGTCACCTCAACTCTCCCACAAAACCTATAGTTAATTCTGAAGTTTTCTGAGGCTAGCCAAGATCTGGGCCAGCAAATCCTTGGCACCAGTAGCTTTTGACTACCAGTGAGATATGAATTTCTGTATCTGCTTCTCCTGTGTTCTGGCCATTATGCAAAGGGAAGTATTTTTGATGAAGGTATTTTACTCTTCACTCACCTCTCACTTGGATGAGAGGCTTTATTTTCCATTACATAAACTTACCAGTTTCCTTATAAGACACTATCTTTGGATCAATGCCCATAGGTACAATTTCTTTGAATACTCCAACTCGAAGGTCTGGGAAACAGTGAGCTCCTCCTGCACTGCTCTAGGAAATCAAACACGAGAACAATTCACCAAAATTTGCTTGGTGTCAAAATTAAAATTACCCACTCGCTTGAATTCTACAGTTCATTAGAATATGAAAATATCTTTGTGGCTGAGGGAAAGAAATGTCTTTCCTGCTGAAATCCACACTCTAAATCCTGAAGTTTAGGCAGCAGACCCCTAACACAACATGGGAGACAGATGTCTTAGGCCCAATGACAACTCTGCAGGTGAGACAGCATTTGGTTGGAGGTGCAGGGATGTCAGAAACATGTTACTACCACTTACCTCAAGAAAAAGCATTCTGACCCAGACTATTTACTAATATTAAACAATATAAATAATATAATATTAAATAACATCCTCCAGTAATGGATCATGTTGCCACATCCAGGCCCTGTAGTTCTCGTCATCCCTCTGGCACCAGACACAAGCACAGCTGTGCCTCCAGTCATGATGTGTGTGATAGGAACTGCAGTGTCCATGCATGTGAAGGAGATGTAGGGGAGGTTAGCCAGGCATAAGATTTGTTAACAGTGGAGGCTGGCACCTTTCCTTAACACCAAACTCAAGTATGGGATTCCCCCTTCAGAAGTCCTGGTAAGCCCTTTTGTGGAAGGCACCTCCACTGCAGGCTACAGGCAGTGAGAATTTCTGCAGGGCTGAGCCTCAAACATGGCTTAGGCACCATCAAGTATATAAATCCACAAAGAGAGTGCAGTGCTGTGCAGCACTGTTCCAACTATTATGGAAATCAGTCTGCAGGTACTGACTGTAGTGGCCACTGGGTATATACAAAGCCCCAAGCATGGTTCTCACTCTCCTAGCCCACGTCTTCATGGCACAGCAACCTGAAAGCCTCACTCACGTGGGTATAGAACATTTAGGAGGAGGTGAGACATCAAACACCATAGTCCACTAATGCACGAACACTGATGCGCAGAGAGATCATGCAAGGTTGAAGGTTTTGCCAAGGTCAGGGTAAAATTCCATCCCTGTTCTGTTTCTGCATCTACATATGACTCTAACACAACTCCTCTTGAAATTCAGCCAAGCATAACAGACACTTATAAAGCTAAGACTGAATCATCACTGCAGCTCAGCATGGAATTTGAGTTTCGCAAGTTTCACCAACTCCTTTGATCTAGCTGCTTATGAAAAAATAATAGCACTCCCTGCAAATAAAACTGTGTGGAGAAGAGCTGCTGCTTAAGCAGCAGCTTTCCTGCCTTGCAGAGAAACCAGAACGTACAGTGGTTGGCAGCCAAAGCCTACCAGAATTCCATAAAATGCACCAACCAGTGCTGCCCTCACCACGTGAGGACAGCAATCACTACGTATGCTCCAGCTAGGCACCAAGTCAAGTAGGAAGAAACCTCTCAACAGTCCCTGTGTGCTTTCTCTAGAAAATACCCAATCCATGGAACTGACAGAGCACCTATATGGACACCAAAGCTTGCATGAACCTCAACCAATAGTACTGCTTCTAGTCAAGGATCTCAAATCAGGGTGAAGAGGACCGACTGCAAACACTTTGCTGGGCTAAGTGTATGTTGTGATGCCTGCTCAGCCTGGAGTAAATGCTTGCAACAGAATGGTGGGGCTTAAGCACACTCCCTCACTCACCTGTCCTGGGGGGCTTTGCGGCTGCACCCGTAGCTGCCAAAGCCTGTAGCAGCTGCTATCACTGCCCATGGAAACTCCTAATTCTGGTAAAAACCAGCAAAGATTTTTGGTAGGGTTAAGATCCACCAACTTAGGTAAGTGGTGGGGGAGAGGAACTGCTACGGCAGAAGTAATACTGTCAAGAAGGAAAGCACTTACTTCTTGAAAATTGAATTACCCCCATTAATGATGTCTATGTTAAAATTATTTTTTCATACCTTGAAATCCTCTTGACACAAAATATTTTTGAACAGCGGCTGGGAAAGCATAACTGTAATGTAGAGACTGGTAGCTACTTTGCTTCCACCAACTGTCCCATTAATCCCTTCTGAAGCAACTCGTACCTAGAAGGCAAGAGGAAAATCTGGGGCTGAGCCTTAGTTACAGCAACACAAAGATTACAGTAGAATCAGCAAAATATGATTGGGTGACAAAGGGCAGGCTCAGGAGCACATCCAGAAAAGAGAATACTGAATAAGGAAGGAGAATATTGTTAGACTGAAGTTGAACATAAAGACAATAAACAGAAAAAAAAAAACCCTCAACAATCTAGCAATCACTTCTGAGCCATTTTAAAAGAATCACATCAGGACAACCAGAAGAGTCCATTCAATAAACAGAGAAATACTGTATAAACAGTAAAATTGCTGTCTGCAAATCCTGCAGTCAGCATCAGAATTCCCACTGGGAGTTGCTTCAGAAAGAACAATAGGCTTGTGCCCCATGACTCACACAGCTAAAAAAGAAAATGTGAATATGCATAACATTGTATCTAATATTAAATTTTAGGATGAGTCATTTTATCTCCAGCACTGACAAATGAACAAAAGCTCCGAAGTGGGGGTGGGGGAAAGGGGGAAAGATTGAATGTAAGAAGCAAGGAAAAAACCAACTGATTGGGAAAGGTAAATGCTGGAGATGAGACAAAAAAATAAAGGAAAAAAACTTGAACAAAACACCAACTACCAGGCAAGACAGCTGAGCAGAAAAATAAATTAATCCACGACAACATTTCACCCCTGGAGCTGTGCTGATGTATCACTGGCAGAGAGCAAGAAGCTACTTAGGAAGACAGGTCACAGAGTAAAGGAGCCTCCTGCTCCACATTGCCCCCTCCTTTTCCCGAAAGACAGCCTAGGAACATCAGCTTTGTGTGGCTAAAATTCACCTTCTCTCACAGCCTCAAGAGGACAGCTACACAAGCAACTCACGTCCTTGGTCTAGCCTGCTAGGAATGAAGAGAACAGACTGTGCAGGAATGAGAACTGCTACAACATGGTGTGGTCTAAAATGTTCTTGCCTAATTCCCGACAGTATGGTTTTCAGCTTGGTGCAGCCACTCTGACTGGGAGCCCACTGTGCACTGAGGAGGGAGGATACAGGTGACCAGTGAGGGGAGCAGGCCCAGACCCATGCTATCCCTCCAGCTTGGCCCTTGGGCTGCCTCATGCTGCACGTGCCCTTTAGCCACAGGATACACCCAGCCTGCTAATGCTGAGACACCTGCATTGCAGCTCCCTGCTGACACCAGTGATTAAGCCACTTTCATCTCCTTGCATTTATCTAAAAGCACATCTTGAATTTCTCATGTGAATATCCTTTCTGATTGACAGCAGGAGTTATAAAAAGACTCGTTTTCCTGTTTCCATGTGTAACAGTGATGGAAATGGAGTAACCTTTCCAAGGACAGGGTCTGCACAATGTGGTCTGTGAGGTTCACTCAACGCCACACAACCCAGGGCTCCCTGCACCAAAAGGGATATAAGATTATCTGTATTTCTTTTTTTTTTTCTTTTTTTTTTGATACCTCTTGAACAGAATTCTAAGAAGATACCTTCCAAGTCTGAGTGCCTCTCTTAATGGGATCATAATAAACTAGCACTTCCTGGTGCAAAACACACCTAGTTCTCCACATAGCCCATCAGCATGCACTGAATAAAAATGTGGGGCTTCTTCCTTAAGAACAGAACCATTGCTTCAAACCTTACCTTGCCAGTGAGATGTAGATGCTGACACAAAGCCTTTTGCCAAGCACAGAGTTTCTCTGGATCCCTCACCTCACAGTAACAGTAATAGAGGAGTACTTCTCCCACCTGGCTGCCCACAACATGGAAAAGGTAAGCAAATAGAAAAAGAATGTTAAGAAAGAACAAAATTATATTATTAGCAGTAACCATTCAAAAAGCAGACAGTTTTCCTCTGGCGGATGTGTAGAGAAAAAAAAACACTCAAACAAACTTTGGAGGGATTAGCACTGCTGGGTTTGACTTATTTCAAACAGAAGGAATGTTAGCTAAAAAAAAGCTCCCACTCAGGACTGGTTACAAAATTAACTCCTCTGTACTCTCGCTGCCAGAGGCCTACCATATGCTCTCCTCACACACAGAACACAAGAATTGCACAAGAACTGACTTTTGTGCACACAAGCATGCAATTAAATGCTCACTTTGCCAAAATGGCACTTAAAAACTCGAGCATTTGAGCTATCTGAATTTAAAAAGCCAAAATGTTTTGTGAGATTGCGTGTTCCCACATTCTGTGTGGCACAAGCCACACAATGTCATAGTCAGAAACATTTTTGTGAACCTTTTCGTAACTATATGAGTCCTTCAGGAACCTGAACAAGCAGCAGAAAGTAACCTGTGCAGAGCATATCCTGCTGTTCTGCTCTTTTCTGTTGTGATCCTTTCTTACAGATCCAAGCTGTCAAGCAACACCCATATGGGCCCGCTTTAATGGCGCAGGATGATAGAGCTCGAATAATTCAATCCATTAAAAACTGCATTGGATCTAACTCTTTACATAAAGGATATCCAAAGAATCCGAAGATCTAGAGGAATATTGGGGAAGACTCTTCCTGTACCTTAGACGAGTCGCTTGGCTGAATCTCATAGGAAGTACTACTGGTAGACGACCACGTCAAGTCGACCCCACTCCTGGGCCTTCAGAGCGGCGAGGCGCTCCCTTACCTTGTCAGATCGTCGTGGCTGACGTGGCTTGTGTCGGGGAGCGCCCAGGAGATCTCCGGGTTGCTGCAGGAGTGCCCGCTCGGCCGGGCCGCGCTGTCGGCCGGGGCCGGGCCGCCTGCGGGGCAGCCTGCGGCCTCCGCCGGGCTGGCACCGAGCCCGGCCTGCAGCCCCACGTCCCCGGAGTGGTGCAGAGCCACGTGCCTGTGGATGCCGGGCAGCTCCTCGAACGCCTGCCGGCAGCACCGCCACCGCACGCCCTCTCCGCCGCCGGGACACCGCGACGCGGCCGGCACCTCCTTGCCTTTGACGAACAGGGAAAAGGCCTGGAACGCATCGCAAGCGTCCGCGTTACCGAGGTTACCGCGCTGCCCGGCCCAGGCCCGGCGCGGCCCCGCGCCCGGCCCCGACCCACCTTCCTGCGGGCGGCCGCGCGCTGCTTCCTGCCCGCCGCGGCCCCCTCGGCGCTGCCCCGCGGCGAGCCCGGCCCGGGCGGCGCCGCCTCGCCCGGCACCATCTCCGCCTCTCCGCCGGGAAGCGCCCGCTCGCCGCCCCCTCCCCCCCCGCCGCCCCCTCCTCCCTGCCCCGGAAGTGCTCGGGCTCCGCAGGGAAGCGGGCGGGAGGTGCCGTGCCCGCCCCGGAAGCAGCGCGGCGGCGGGCGGGGAAGCAGCGCGCTTGTTCGGCCCGCGCGAGGTGTCTCGGCCCGGCGCTCCCCGGAGGTCCACAGCGCTCCTCACCGCTCCTCCCGGCTGCTCCTCCTCGCCGCTCCTGCCTGCCGCTCCCCGCCATGTCGCGGCGGCGGCACAGCGATGACAGCGATGGTGAGCCCCGCGTCCCCCCCGGAGGTGGCCCGGCAGGGAGGGCGGGTTGGGCGGGAGGGATGGAGGAGCGGCAGTGCTTCTGCGGCGTCGGTAACGCTGTGCTCGGTGTGTTGTCGGAGCAGGGCAGCCCCACAAGAGGCGGAGGACGTCCGAGCCATCGGAGATAGAGGAGAGGCTGGAGTCGCTCATCTGCAGGGTGGGAGAGAAGGTAGGCGGCCCGGCGGCTCGGGAGAGTTAAAGCCTTGTTTTCCTCCGCCCTCTCCCCTTCCCGTGCTTGGTGCGGGGGCGCCTCGTCTGTAGTAGCCACCCTGGAAGAAAATACTTATTTTATGAAATGGATGGAAAGTTGCCGTTTTTTCCTAAGCCACGTGCTGTGGCAGGCAAGTGCTTAAATCGTAGCGCGGTGGTTCCCAGGCAGCGATAAACGGCCGGAGAATTGTTACCATTGTATCTAAAGAGGGTGTTGCTGCTTCCAGGCTGCGAAGGATGTGAAAAAATTAACTGGTCTGGCTACGGCACGAATTTCGAGTCCCGACAATGGGGCTGATGGAGGAGGGGGTGGCAGAACAAAAGATGACGATGCTTTGAAAAACAAGGTGTTTTGCTTCGTGCTGTGTTGTTAATCAATGCTCGGCCGCGCTGCCGTGATGCTCCTGAGGTGGTGTCACATCTTGCATCCCTGGGGAGCGCTCAGGTGCCTAGCGGGGAGCTGGGCGGTCGAGTGCAGCTTTTCTGAGGAGTAGCTGCTCCACTAAGGCAAGCGAGAGCAGATGTTCCCTGCTGAGGGAACCGGAATTGTTGCCCTGAAGAATGAGGGGACGTGAAAGGATGCTCTTGTCCAGCTCCATTGTCTTATATGTGGGAGTCAGACTAGTTCATTTTGCCTGGTTGATGATGAAACCTTTTTTTTTTTTTTTTTTTTTTTTCATTTTAGAGTAATTCATCTTTGGAGAGCAACTTGGAGGGCCTAGCTGGTGTTTTAGAAGCTGATCTTCCAAATTACAAAAGCAAGATACTGAGAATACTCTGTACTGTGTACGTATTGAGGAGGTTTGGGAATGTGGGATGTGCTTTCTTTGTGCATAAGTTCAGTGTTTAAAGGCCATGAACACCTTTAGTTCCCGATTGCTGTCATAGCATAGAGTTTGTCTTACTACAAACGAAAGAAGTAGAGGAGTAAGCTCATTACATACTGGATGTCATTCCAGGAAAATACCTCTTTACATTGCTTTGACTTGAAATGTGTATAAAGGCTCAAAGCAGGTAGAAGAAACATCAGAAGTGGTCTGCAGTAGCTGTGGGAGCACAGCAATGCTGGGCAAAATCCTGTTTCCCTATGAAATGCTTAAGACCATCGAAGTTACCAGCTGCTAGCAGCTACCTGTGTTATCTGTGATGTTTTCTCACTGCCTACTCTTCCCTGGCAGTGATATGCTCATGTCTTTGTAAGCTAGAGGAGAGGAACTGGGAACGTGAGGAGCAGAGACCGGGCTCATTGGTGGCTGCCAGCTCTCCTTCCTCTCCCTCGCCAAGTGTGGAGCAGAGGTGCCATAGCAGGGTCACTGAGTGGTGTTGAGGGAGGGGTTGTGCAGGGTCTGTTTTAGGAGGTAAGACAAATACAGAGGAAGGGTGTGGTGCAGTATTTTTACTAAAAGTTAAGTAGTGTGCTTCCTTCCCCCATAGCAGAAAGACACTCCTGAAAGTACAGTTATGTGCATACAAAAATGGTAGAGGAAAATTAATTTTTTACAGTAGGACCTGGCCTTCCTTATGCTGTGTAATAACGTTACTTTTAAATTGCGAACTTAAAAAAACTTCCTGTATCCTTGCAATAAATTTTGTCAGTTACATTGTCTGTCCAATCTTCTGGTATACTCAGCAATTAGATATAAATGAAAAGTCAAAATTATAGGTGTACTGGAAAGTGGTAACTGGTCTGTGGTTGAAACAAAAAAAATATTACCTGTAGGTATTAACTGTGGGATAAAACCGTAAGATCACGTTTTCTCATTTCCTCATGAGGCAAGTTTAACTTGCAACAAGCAGATTCTAAGATGCTATGCAGTCGCCAATTGGCACATGATGAATAAACAACTAACACGGTATTTCTTTTCTGTGTCAGCGCACGTCTGCTACCAGAAAAGCTTACTGTTTACACGACATTGGTGGGGCTACTGAATGCCAGGAACTACAATTTTGGCGGGGAATTTGTAGAAGCCATGATTCGTCAGCTCAAGGAATGTTTGAAAGTCAACATGTATAATGAAGCTGTGCATTTAGTAAGTGGAGTTTTGTTTCTCTATTAGTTTCACATCCAAGAGGAAATGTGTGATGTGAGAAGTGTTTTCTTCTTCAGGGGTGGGGAGTCATGTTGCATTTGCAAAATTTGCTTCCAACTATATCTTTTTCACAGTGAAAAATTAAATTTGCGTCAAACAGAGATGCTTCTCGCTGTTTGTTCTTCAGTCAAATATAAAAGATAAAAAAAAGCCAGAGTGCTTTCCTTGTATTCAGAGGTACATGATGATCTTGTGGCTATCGTGGAAAAAAAATTGAAAAGAAAATGAACACTATAGTTCTTAAAAGCTGTTTTTAATGGCTATTTTCAATCTTCTGATGAGGGGTGAAGATCAAGCAGTTTGAAGTGCTGCCTGTCTTCGAAACCATTTGTTCCATTCTTGCTGCTTCTAGGTTTTCTCTGCTGAAAGGTATTAGAACTTCAGCAGTGTCTGATTTAGAAGCCCTCTGCCGAGTTCCCCACCTTCTTCTGAAACCCACTGGTGAAAATTAAGATTCTAGTCAAGACTGATGCTCAGTCGACTGTAGGACGCTTTTGCTAATAAGATCTAATTGCTAGGATTTCTGTTATTTTAGTAATCTGATACTGTAGAGAATAGATACAACGGTTTTCTTCTGTAGTATTAGTTTGTGTGTTTCCCACCATTCCTTAATTAGGAATATTATCCTTAGGATGTTATTGCAGTGGGAAGGATTAAGGGCATTGTAACAAACAGTGTATTAGGCAGTATGTTTGATGCTTGTCGTTGAAGGCAAGTGTGTACAGTGGGCAGTGTTTCAGCCTTTGTGGTACTGAATGAGTATTATACTTTTGTTGGTGGTTTGTTTTAACCATTTCAGTTTATTTGTTCTTGTGCAGTCAGTTTGAAAAGTATTAATAGAGAACATTTTTTTCCTCTTCTTTAGGTACGTTTTCTGTCCGATCTCGTGAATTGTCATGTAATAGCAGCACCATCAATGGTAGCTATGTTTGAGAACTTTGTGAGTGTGACACAGGAGGAGGATGTACCCCAAGTAAGCAAAAGATCCGAAGGCTCCCTGGGCCTGTTTCAGCTTGTCTGTACCATTTGTTCTGTCCTTATGCTCAGAACAGGGAGGTTTTAGGGAGAGTAACCCAAATAAACAGTTGCCTAAGCATTAGTGTGAGGAGCCTGTGGCAGTTGGGAAATTATGTATGTAGTAATACTTCTATAGTGAAGTGGCTGAATTGAATTTATTTTACCTTACTCTGGCAACTGCAGAGTGCCTAGCCTTTCTGCTATACTGACAATATCCAGGAGAACTTTGAAAGTGTTGCCATTTATCCCATCTTTTAAGTCTGCTTAACAGAGTTCAAGTGAAAAATTACACTTTTCTCATGCCTTCCCTATCCAACCTGCTACTGCTGGTTATTACATTCCCCCAAAACAACTTGCTGATGTTTTAAATTAAAATATGTGTATGTACAAAATCTGCTGGAGCTTACTTGTATACTCAGGTTTTGGTATATTACCTTCCTGTAGGTGCGATGTGACTGGTATATGTTTGCATTTCTGTCATCTTTGCCTTGGGTTGGAAAGGAGTTATATGAGAAAAAGGATGCTGAAATGGATCGTCTCTTGTCTCAGACAGAAAGTTATCTGAAGTAAGTTGTAACTGGTTAGAAACACTCTCTTTAGTATCTATTTTAGTGTGAAGTAATAGTGTTGATTATTGCTCACCTTAAAGCTTTAGGTATGAACCATTTTGTGGGGGGGAGCAAAGCTCTAAAAATGCAGTAGGTGGAGAGATTTTTGAGTTTGAAAAGTTGTATGGTCTTGCCTAGTTCTAGGCTATGTTTAAGGTATTGCTCTGCTCATGCTGCAGCAGCTGGAGTTGTAATTGTGCTGTTAACATGATAGATTGTTGCATTAGTGCAGTGCAGTGTCACTGCTTTCTGTCTAGGTGTGCTTCAAGTTAATGCTGTCAAGAAATTATAATAGAGATATTTTAAGTAATCACAAACCTGGTTTTGTCTACTGTAGACTTTATCAGCTGAAGAGAATGAATAGTCGTACACTCACAACAAAAACAAAACTGCTGCCCTAAATTAGTCTATTAAAGGTCAGGTTTTCTCTCCTATTTAAACAGACGCCGCCAGAAGATTCATGTGCCAATGCTGCAAGTGTGGACTGCTGACAAACCACATCCACAAGAAGAGGTGATTGGGCTTTACACTGCATTCCTTCAGAAAGTTGGGGAAAATAGTTTTTTAATAAGGTGTTCTTTCATCATGAAATTAGAAGGCATCTCTTAGAGTATGAATGCTTTGATTTGTCTGCTGTTTGCCATTGATTTCAGCAAGTTCTGTGTGGCGAATTCTTTTCCAAGTATTGGGCTGAAATAAGAGGTTGAGTTGAGTAAGTAGCTTAGGGTGGGA